TAGGTACCAACATGACCCGAGATTGTTAAGTGAAAATGCAATACCCGGGTGTGCATTGTTTTCCCCATAAATAGATTTATATATATTTAGTGACTTCTCACAATTGCTGATAGCTTTTTTCTGGTCACCGAGTTTATTCCAACATGATCCAATATTGTGATGCAACATAGCAATATCTGGATGTGCTGTACTGTCACCGTAAATACCTTGTAGCATCGTAAGTGACTGTTCGAAGTAGGTCATTGCTTTTTTCTGGTCTCCGAATTCACACCAACACGACCCAAAGTTCTGAAGTGTCATTGGTATGTCGGGATGTGCGTTGTCTCCATAGAGGGTTTTCTTCATCGTTAGTGCCTGTTTCGTGTAGTCCATTGCCTTCTGTGAATTGCCAAGTTTTAACCAGTACGACCCCAAGTTATGAAGTGCATTTGCAATGTCTGGATGTGCCGTGATGTCTCCGTGCTCATGGATAGATTTTAACATCGTCAATGACTTTTCATAGCAAGAAATTGCATTTTTCATATCGCAGAGTGCCCTATAGGATACTCCCAGATTGGTGAGAGTGGATACGATTTTGGGATGTGCAATTTTGTCTCCGTAGATAGTTTTGCGTATGTCGAGTGACTGTTTAAAGAAGATAATTGCTTTTGTGTGATCACTTCGACATCCCCAGGTCTTACCTAATTCTTCTAGTATAGTCGAATGTTTGTCGTTCGTGTCACATGCTTCTTTCAACGCTTCTTCCAAATAATGGATGGAATTATCAAGCATGAACAGATTTCTTGCTATTCTTCCCCTACACAGATGGGAAGAATCGTAGATGGACGTTTTGAATATCCTCTTTGGTTGGGCGTGCAAAATATCTTTGACCATATCCATGACACGCATCTTTAATGGTAAAGCCGTGCATTGGTATCGGAAAAGTACCTTGATGTTTGGTATGTGGAATATTGACTTCAGGGTAGTGTCTGACACCTCGTGCACGCTGCTCTGATAGTTCACTTTGGCAAGAGGAGACAGACTGTCCTGCTGCCCTCCGTTGGCAATGTACGTCCTCAGCCTGAGTTCTGCCGCGATGCTGATCAGCACTGTCAGGTGTGTGGCATCTTCCTCTGTGATCCGCCCCGTTCCCTTTAGTTCATGAATGATACCCCATGTACTTGCATGCGTAGTCTGACAACACAGGGCTATGAGGTCCATGGCTATACCTGGAAATCGGTACATGTCCTTTTTGACATTCAACAGTTGCCCGGTAGGCTCATTGGAGAGGAAGTTTTCCCTGTCTTCCTCCAGGATTTTAGGTGCGATTCGACGGGCCATAGAGAGTGGTGTAGTATAGCTTTCAGGAATTCTTGTCAGATAGTCCTGGTAGTCTTGCACTAGCGATGCTTCGCCGGTCAGGAAAGCAACGCGTCTGAGGATGTCTGACAGGTGGTACCCCTCGGCAAGGGATATCTCCAATTGCTGAAACTCCGCCATTTTTGCAGGCGTCTGGATGAGGCTAACGGGCGGTTTAGTCTTGGTCTTGTCTCTCCCAAATGGAGTCTTTGATGCCCATGGCATGGAGCCGTCAAAGGCAAACCCACGAGGGGTGACGGAGTCAAAGAACCAGTCTTTATCTTGATCTTCCGATTGAAAATCGTTCAGTGACGGAATGGCCATAGCTGGGAGGATGGTCTCTCCGAGGTTGATGACTTTCATGTGTAGGTAGTGCGTGAGGGTGAGGAAGTACCGTCGTGTGTCATCGTTGTCTTTCCCGTCCTCAATTAGAATGGCGAACTCCAGGTCAGAGTAGGGCGTGACCAGTTCTGTTGCCTGGGAGCCTAACCCGATAAAAGCGTACTTACATGGAGGACGGCCAAGTATGACGATACATTCGCCAACAAGGTCCTGAACAAATGTCTGCCTATCTTCAGCAATGCTCTTGAACAGAGATTTGATTGCTTCAGCTCGTTCAGCCTCGACTTTTGTCACAGTTGGGTCATCCTCGTCGTACTGATACGGGTTATGGTGCTGATCTATTTCGTCTAACTGTGACTTAGCACGGGCGCGCATGTTCTCTAATCGCTTCTTGTGGCGTGAGGCACAATCCATGGGACTTGATTTTGCTTCCACATTTGCTGTACATTGAAGAAAAGACTGCTCTATCTCCTGCAAGGCTTCAGTAAGTGTTACTTTTTGATTGTCCAGGTGTGTTCTGGCCAATGCTGCATTGTACAGTGCGGCAGCCTGTGTGAATTTCTTACCTTCTTTTGTCCCTTTACCACGCTGGAGGTACACGTCTCCCAGTCTGTACAGGCAGTCAGCCTCTTTCAGCCGATAGGAATTGTTACGGTCTGCACACACGTGAAAACAATATAAATGTCATTTAGTCACAACGGTTGTGAATAAATAACTTTGCTCTTCAATTATCATTTACCAAGTTGAACCCAATCAATATTCATGGGAATACAAATGTCTATCATATATAATTGTTAAAGATAAAAATATAGAGGAGGGTAGAAAATTTAATGTAAAAACAGTTACCGTGAATGAGTTTCAGAGCGGACACAAACTTCTCTTCTGCTAAGTCGATGTTCCCATCAGCCAGTGCGCGGTCCCCCGCTGCCAGGTACTCTTGGTAAGACCTACAGTGACAGATTGTTTATGCATTTTTATTTCTAATTTTTCTTTTAAAATGGGCAGGATTACTCATACCAGTATGGGGAAATTTTGTTTTTCAAAAAAAAGGTTCTGCACCTGTTGACATACCTGTAGTCTGGAGTAGCTTTTCTGGGTGTCTGACTTGCGATGAACTCACTCGGTGACCTAAAATTTCAAGAAATCTTAAGTTAAACTCAGTGATAGACAATATGGATTATGTATGCCTTTAAGCTCTTACTTGTGATAAAATCAAATGAGAAACTAGAGTTCAGCGACACAGCGCCCCCTCATTAATTATGCAAATTAGATTCTGTCACATTATGTCTAGCAAATCATCTAAATGTGTTAAGCATCACTTAAGCCACCTACCATCCAAAATTTGTTACCCTACCATGTCCAGATCAAGAGATATAAAAAACGGAATTTCCACTGCAGTACCATAGCAAAACGTCAGAGGGTCCAAAATCTAACCATTCCCAGGTCTGCATCAAGGTTTACTAAGTAAATATCAAAACAATCCAACCAGGCATTCTAAAGTAATTGTGGTTACACACAAATACATACACACAGAAAAACCGTATCCCAAAACATAACCTTCTTGGCTAAGGTAATAACGCTTAACAATATCCAGAGATCAGCTACATTAGATACATACATGAACTTTTGGCCAGATCCTTCAGCGATGACGTCATTGTTTGCGGATGTCTCTGAAAGGTCCCTCGAGAGGTCAGCTTGTTGTTTCTCCCGTTGTTTCTGCCGTTGTAAGCCCTTTAAAAGCACCGACTCAATCAGTGGACACAAACATTCACTGGGGTGTTACATGCACGTTAAATATGAAACATGATAAACGTGGTCTTCGTTATCCAAGTGGCTAATATACTAACAAATTTGGCATGGGAATTTGTTTTATGACAAGATTGAATTATGATACCTCATCACACACACACACACACACACACACACACACACACACACACACACACACACACACACACACACACACACGCGCGCGTGCATACATTACGAACATACACACACAAAAACACAGAGTATTACGTACATACAGATATAAACATACATACATATCTATTTTTAATTCAGTGTAGGAGCCACAAATAACATATACCTTTCCAGTCCGTTTAGTCTTTTGTCTGATTCTTGCGGTGTACAGTAAGCGGTGGATGAGTGTGACTTTCCCCTGGATCCCCTCACACCTCGCCAGTGCAGTGTTGTACATAGCTGTGGCCTTGGTCAAACATGTCGTGTCCCTAGTTTCTGTTCCTCTTTTCAGGTACACGTCACCGAGACTTTTAATCGCCTCAACTTCTAACATACTGTCCTCGTTTGCTACCCCCTCTATCATCAACTTGGTATATTCAATCAGCAACGAGTCCTTCTTGTAGTCAACAGTCAATCTTTGGTCTAAACGTTGGAATCTCTCTGCTACTTCAACAAGCGAAAACACTTCTTTGTTGTCAGGGTTCTGGTTGTTTCGAACAAAGGCTGTTTGTTTCTTACCTAAGCGTAGTTTCTTCACATACGACAAACGATATGTGAGGCTGTCTCTAATGTCTGCGTCCTCACAGTCACATCGGAGCAGTGCGGCCCTGTACAGCACCAAAGCCTTGTCTAGCTTTCCCACGCCCCTGCAGCGTTTGCCCGTTTCCAAGTTCATGTCTCCGAGGCTTTTGAGTACCTCTATTTCCACCAGCCTGTCCATGTTCGCCATGGCGTCAAGCAGGGCACGTAGGTAGTCGGTCTCGGCACGTTTTAGTCCGTGTCTCTTGGTCTTGGCGTCCGCCTCGCGGAGCTGCTCACAAACCCGCAGCATTTTGGACACTTAGTGATTCAGAGTAATCAAGAGTTTAGCTTACCCATGCCTAAGTGGAATGTACAGAAAATGCCAACTTCCTACAAACACCGTGACCTGTGACCTGTGCAGCTTTACTTCCGCATAACGACCTGCGGCGTACAGTATCCCGCGAGCCTTTGCGAGAATAGTATTGTTATGAATAATTAAAGAGCTGAACCTGGGCAGGTACAAACGTATTAAGTTTGACTTGGGAATGAATTGGGAGATATACATCTCATCGAAGTCTGGTATACTGTGACCTGAGTGTGGTGTTTTTATACTTTAAAGTGTATGAATTTAACTGCAGCACGAAGGCAGATTAAGACAGCGCAATACATCTTACGGCCAGTGACCTTTTGGCAGGCCAAACATTTCACAGTGTCGTACCCTTGGGGACATATTTCGTAGAGAGGTCCTATATATTGTTACAACAGTCGACAGCAAAAAAAGGTAAATGATACAAAAAGACGTGGGATTTTTTTATTCCACATTAAATAAGATTTACATTTTCTTCTCAAACATCTCTTGTTTCCTGGCTGCTAGATTTACCCAACCGCGGGTTAATGTAATATTAATTGTCGTTCTACCATCATTTAGTCGATAACAGAAAGGACTACATATTAACCGCTTATCACTACATGGTTCATGGAAATGACAATGACTAAATTTATTGATCACAGAATCCAATGAATGCAACCATAATATCTAAAATGTACATAAAGTTTCAACAAATTCATAAAGTGCTATCTTGAAATGTAATATCATATAGTTCTTGAGTAAAAATAAGCATGTACGTTAAAGAGGTTTTACCATTTACTATGACTATGAGAACATTGTTTGCTCATAAAGTAACACAAAACACAGATTTTGTGCCATACAACATTGTTACAGCCAACCATCCACCAAGAAACATGTTATTTTTGTAATGACAGTAACGGGCGTTTAAATGTGACATTCATGTGAATTTGATGGAAAAACTGAAATCTAATTTGATGTGACTACAGAAAAAAATTGTAAGTATAATTGTCAAAATATGCTCCATGTGCTCTATGTGTACTCATATATTCACACATTTCGTGATGTTGCTATCTCCCCGAAATTCACATAAAAGCCACATTTATAACGTTGATAGTGTGACGAAACACCCTTTTCTTCAATCAGGGCACATCTAACCCCGAGTCACTATCACTACCTTTGCGCCCTTTGCGCTTTGCCACGCAGGCTGGCATCCACTTCTTCCGTTTCTCGTTCGCGGCGTTGTCGTCCTTCTCGTTCTCTTTGCGCCTGCGCCTCTCGTCTTCGTACCGGATGTCGTCATAGCTGTCATCACTGCTATCCCGTCTCTCCCTCCTCTCCTTCCGGCGGCGCTTCCGGCGGCGCCTCTCCCGCTCGTACTCCGAGTCGTCCGAGGAGCTGCCGCTGCTGTTGCGCCTCGTCTGACGTCGCCGCTTGCGGCTCCTGGCGGCCTCCGGGTCTTTGGCGTACTTGCAGCTTCCCTCGTACGAATGCTCCTTCTCTTCTTCTCCATTGCATGTGCACCGTAGGCATCCCGGACAGAGCATGTAGATACACATAAACACGACCACTAGGGCGATGATGACGATTCCTATCGCCCAAATCAGGGTCCTAATGAAGAAGTACAGGCCCATCAATAGCAGCATCCCGCCCAGTAGGATGAAGAATATAAGGATGATCCATGTCCTGGCGTCCCGTGGAAGAGGGCAGTTCACTGAACGCTCCGGCATGGTGCTGCTTTGTCCCGAGGCGACCCTTAAGTCTCAGAGATTCACACTCAGTCTTTCCGTAACTACTCCCTCCTCCTAACTTTTCTTAGACTTTGTAGTCGCACAGAAAGTCCTCCTAGATCTGTTTCGACAGTCTGACTGACTGTGAAGACTTTGGACAGCGTCGACGCAATAAAAATGGCGGCTCAGTCCTTACTCACCCCGAACTGAACCCTACCAGTTCTCCACGTATTTTTCCAGTGCGTCTTTTCCTGGGCACCCTTGTCAGTTGAGGCGTCGTCAGATCATTGTTTTGTTGAGTTGTCATGGAGACGATAAAGTCGTCTCAGTAAAGTCGTCTGTAACTCAGCTGAATTCTGTGTGGGGTTCTTTAGACACACTGACCCTGTTCCACTGAGCTGTATGGTGTTTTGAGACACACCTATAGAGTTGTCATTCCGGTTTTGACAGGGATGACTACACGGGCTAGTTGGCCTCAGGGAAAACAGACAACTACTCTTAGTAACCATGGTAACAACCTTTAAAGGGCTCAGGTCGCTGTGCGTATGTGTGGGTTTGTTTATGTGTGTATCAAATGGTATATTATTATCGATGCGAATACGTGTTTGCAGATTGTAATTTTCTGTACTACAGTACTACTACTAAAATCTGTTGCCATCTATAACCGTTTAATTTGTTTATGGAATCATGAAAATAAAGTTTTCCCTTGCAATTGTGAGTAGTAATAAGGTATCAAACTCAAACCTACGTAGATATCAGACGGAAGTGTTGTAGTTAAGTCGACAAATTGTACTAGATAATTTGTAGGCTCACTGTTATACCTTCAGTCCCTACAGGAACCTCAGGGAGCCTTGTTCTGACTGACTTACTGGCTATAGCTAGCTTAGTGCATAAAGGTGTAATGTCGTCAGAGGGCGCTACTACAACGTCGTAGTTATAAACAATTTGTTTATCATGATGAAGTATTTTCATGATCTTTTGGTTGCTTCTTTAATGGAGAAAGGGGTACGTCCTACCATATCTTGTTTCACGTTAATCTATTTTACCAAATAGCACATAGAAAAATACATTATGCCTGGTCCATTAGTGGAAAATAGTATGTGTGAGAAACTTAAGCCAACGCCGGGGATACTGTAGGCTATACATTTCACGCTGAAAGATTGCTCTCCTAAAATAGAATATCCTCACAAAATTAGGAAAAAAATACAGGGCCACTTCTAAACCCACTGCATTTCGCACTTTCACACATGCACACTCACAGTACAATGAAATTGATATTTTAGTTACGGTTTATTCAAAATTCCAGTAAATAAAATTCGCATTAGATTTTTTTGCATACATGTATTTTGAATTACAAATCTTAGATTCTGAGCTATTCCACTGTAAAAGGTGAAGGGGTTGTCAATCTCTTTACAGAAAATAATTTTATGATAGGGAAATAGTTACTAAGGAGGTCTACCCCCTTTCAAAACTTTTACATGGAGTAGTCCTCAGTATATGGGAAATTATACCATTAATTATTCACATCCTCATTTGATATTTACAGAATACAACATACAGAATACCTACGTCTATTACTTCACGAGTAGTGAAAAAGCTTAACTTCATGTACGTTCGATGTAAAACATGCAAATAAAAATATTTACGTGCAATATTTGATAAAGGACTATGATAGAGTTACCCGATGTATGTACAGTGCACATTATTCGTTAGCCAATATGGCAAATGATTCAACACAGAAATCGTGATAACATGTACATATGAAGATTTACTAGTAAATGGCACATTGTAAGTAATTCTTCAAGGCTGAAGAGATCTCTTTTAATGAATAAAATATCAAATTTGGAATTTTGTGGGAATGTTTTTTTATGGAATCCTTTGTATTTTTCGCAGTGTAGAATGTTTGACAGCTCTTTGGCAATGTAGTGGGCATATCTTAAAGTATGTTTCACAGCTCTTAATAGTAAAAGTAACTTCTTGGAACACTTTCAAATGTTTGCACAGTTCCTTTTGTAATGGTGTTGAAAGGGTTTTGCAATATTGTTAAAATATTTAAAATATCTTTCCAACTCTTCGGTAATCTTTTGGCAGCTAAAGTTTATCGCTTACCACAGTATTTTAAAATTTTAGAAAATGTTTTCGACGATTTTTTCACACACCTCTTTAAGTTTGTAATGTTTTCATCACAGTTCTGTTCTTACAGAATTATCAACTTGATTTGAAAAATCGTTAGAATATTTAAACGAAAAATTTACAGCTCTTTGGTTAACTTTCAGCTGCTAAAGTTTCTCGTTCACCACAGTGCTATATGCAGGAGGCGGCGGGAGGTCGCTGGTACCAGACGAGTACTGAGTGTTGTAGTTGTCCGAGGTGTTGTAGGTGAACCCGTACTGCGGGGGCTGGGCCGAGGGTGGAGCCGAGGGCGCAGCTGCGAATCCTCCGGCCGCCGAGGTTCCAGGGTAAGGTTGGGATCCCGGGTAGGGTTGGCCCGCACTGTAAGGAGAGAAACAATAGTGTCATAAACTTGAATGCCTTCATATGACAAACATATGCGTGGAAACGTGGGGAAATATACAAAGACAAAATACACTGGTTACTGGTATTGGGTATAGGGTAGAGCTGGAATCCTGGATAGGGCTGGTCCGCACTGTAACCTGTGTTAGAAGAGACCAAATAATACCGTACAACATGACATGTACAACTTCTGATAGCCCCGCCGCCATGTTTATGCCCAGAGTGCAACGCGCGACATCCGAGCCGCCATCTTATGACAAATTGACAAAAGTACAGCAACACCTGTAGTACTTCCCAAGCAAACAAAGACCTCAAACCTAGAAAGCGTGTAGTAAACTACACATTAGAGAAATGTCTCCGAATTTACACTAGAAGATAGAACTTATGCTTGTCATTCCTTGGATTACACCATATTTTTCTAGATGGCAAAAGAGTAAAGTAACCATCCAGACCTCTACGAAAATGTACCTTGTCATGCTAAGACGTCTTCGTTGAAGTGTACGTACTTGACTTACTTGCCATTGCAGAATTCGAACTACACTTGCCGATAGAATTCAAGCAAAAGCGGCCTCGGTACCCGGGAATGGTATTTAGAATCCAGAACCTTTCTATGCTTGAATGAGTAGGGGTTAGGTTTTGGATAGCCTCCGCGCATCCAAGGACGTATTTGCCCCAGGCACGACACGCGACTAACCAGAACCGTGCTTAAGCAATGTTCTGAATAAAGCACGGTTTTCGATACACGGTTCTGGGTACAACATTGTATGTACAGACCGGGTCAGGGTGAGAATTCATATAATTGCTGAAGTGATTATACCTTGGGTACGCGGGGCCTGGCCATGACATCGGTATAGCCTGCCCTGGGATCGCCCCCGCTTGTGACATGGGGTCAGGAGCCGCCGGTTGTTGTGTGGTTGTGAGAAATGTCCCTGTCGTTTGCGGGGCCTCGGCTTGTCCCGCTGTCCCTGCCGGGTTTGTCGCCGCCGCCTTCGCTGCATGGCGTTTGGCGCGAGCACACATAAAGGCCGCCGCCACAAACAGGGCCCCTGCGACTCCGAACATGGCCAACGCCTGGTAATTATTCCATGAAGAAAATATGATCGTCACAGGGATTGCAGAGAGTAACAGGAATGTCGCTATTATAAGCAGCGTCATGCCTAAGGAAAAGTATTTCCCTCCAGGGCCCGTCGCCCCCGAAAATGAAATCGTGCCGCCGCCGCCGCCTCCGCCCCGCCGTCTGTGTCGAAAATAGATGATGGTGATGGTGACGGTGACCAGCTCGAGCTCGACCGCCAGCCCTGGCACGACCTCCGCCACGTCTCTCTCCTTTCCCCATCTTGGCACAGACAAGACGACCGACAAGATGCCGCTTACAACCCCTTAAAAGGTCGCGCCACAGGTGTACTACATGCACAAGGTGTGAGGAGAAAACTACTACAGGTCGCCATTCCCCGTGTCAGGCTGTGTCGCACACTGCGTTCACCTGACGACGGGGGCCGCTCATGTTTTCACAAGAACAATGGTGAGGCTGATCAGGTTACAGCTCGGACGAAAGGAACCTGGCAGTTTGCTCCAATCTTTCTGACCCCTTAGATTCAATACAACTGTGTAAGACTACTATTCAGAAGGCTTAAAGAAGTGTAGCAGTTCTCAATAGTCGACATATTTCTGGGTGCCCTTGTTGCAGGAAATAAAAAGCATGAGCCTTTTATTCACAACAGAAGTCACCTGTAACTGACCGCAGCATGGCTGTCGTGGACGTCAGCATCTGTGACAGGTAAACAAAGGTGCGGTGTAAAAACAACCTGACAAGAAGACCACGTGACGCTTGGGCGTGTCGTCACTGTATACCATCGGCTTACAAAGATTTGGGACACCGTTACAAGTGTTGAACTATTGACTGTGCCTTCGACGAGGCTAAGCAAAAATAGACGCGAATTATCCCTGCGTCAGAGGGTGATATGACCACAAATGCCGTTGTGACACGCAGTGATACGTGCATGGTCCTGTCTTAAAAGATATCCTCCATATTGATATCATTTTGATAAAAAGTTTCATGAAGTCATTGGAGAAATTTGTTGTGTAACAATTTTTACATATAAGCCATGATAACACCCAGAGTACAACGCGCGTGACGTTGCCACCATCTTGTCTCCTAATTTCCATTGAAGTAGGTGTTCTGATAAACTACAAAGAACCTAGCACACGTGTAGGCAAGGCAATACACAAAGGGACGCGTCTTTGAGCACTCTGGACACCACCCGGCTAGTCAGATGAAATTGGAACTTTCGAATGAAAGAGAAAGATAATAGCTTTGCTCTCAACAAGGTTCAGGAGGTATAGACGCAACAGGTTCTCTGTGCCACATTTATCGGAGGTCAGAGTTCAGGATCTTTAACCCGTCAGATGTTAAGAAACAGAACACCACCATAAGCACCAAATCAGACTGATTGTAACAGTAACGTTAACAACACATGAGCCTGTTCAAAGTGACGCTTATGGAATATTTGCTGTTGTTGTCCTCAGACCATTTTGGTGATAGCTGAAGTCTGATGGTTATGACAACAAAACGACCGGATGTGATCCATTAGAACGACCGGGTGTGCAACAGGTGTCATTATCTCTATAAACCCGCTGGGTAAATTATGACTGACGAAACTGCCCACGGATTATTTATCCTAGATAGCTACAGAGGATTTTCCTGCTAAACCCAGTGCAATGAAAGACAGCTAAATGCTAGCTTGACGTTTTTAACATATATAAAACGGGTATGCCGTATGGTATTAAACTGTACCTGACGTCGGGATATGGAGGAGGTAGTTGCTGGCCTAGTTGTGACTGTTGCAGTCCGAGCACAGTTAAAATGTGCATGGCGGTTTCATCTCCCTGCTGATGAGTCGTAACGGTTCCTTCTTCCACTTGTTGCACCTGCGGCGTGGCGTTGTTTTGGGCGTCAGCTCTAGCCTTACACTGCAGCGCCCACCCCACGAGAACCATCAGAATCCCAACGCCCAGCATGGCATACCCGGCGAAGGCGAGGGAACTGTATCTCCCTCTGTACATCGTTGTCAAGACGATACCAGGGATCATGCAGACGATTCCAAAAGCGACGAGACGTCTGGACAGGATTTGGGGCCCAGTCATCTGCCCTCCTCCAGAGAAAAGACCCGCCACGGGCGCCCCTCCCCCCGAGCGGACGTGGTGGTTCCTCCGGCGGCGGTTACGGCGTTGCTGACCGGCCCTCCTGTGAGCTGCAGCCCGCCGCCTGCCAGCTCTCCCCCTCCTCTCACCTTTACCCATGACCGGGGGTCTTTACTTTCAGAAAATCACGATCAGATAGATAACGAACTTGTGGGAGCACCGCTGACACTAGCCTATGTGTCTCCTGACTGTTTTCAGGGCCTACACAATCCAGTTCCTCGGCTCAGCAGGGCCAACATGCCCAGATTGAGTTTTTACCGCCGTGACAGCCCCCTCAGTTAGACCCTGAGCAATTCTGGTTAACTGAGATACTATGGGTCTGGCATCCAGGCTACAATGACACAGCATACATGCGGACTGCTCAGCCCTACAGAACTATCATTGACAGGCAGCAAATACTAGGTATGTTGGCCGACCGAGCGTTCCGGTCCACAAGAGCCGGAATCCAGGGGAAAAACAAACAACAACCTGCGCCACTAATCAGGGCATGTGAGGGGTCAGGGGTCAACACTGGACGTGGACAATGGGTTGAGAGTTCGCATGGGCAGTTTCCATCATGAGTCTTTTCCAATTCCGGTTTAAAACTGCCTAACATAGCAGGCGAAACTGTAGTATGACTTACATGTACCTGACACACCCGAATTTGTCACCTTGTAAAATGGTCAACATACCGGGCAACATAGAATTTGATTAAGACACGGGGAAGTACTGAGGTGGGAGTACAAGTAAGCTAAGAGTTTTAGCTAGAAGAACCGCCGAAAACTATAACTTGTGGTGTAGTAGTAGGGTGTGTTGTATAAATAAAATTTTGCATGGCGCATACCTTTGCTGGCCTACGCTTGGCATCGTCTCTTGAAGCTGAGGGTTTTGCTGGGCGAGGTTTGACATCACCTGCTGATATTGCGGGTTTGACATCATGTCTTGGTGTTGCTGTCGAAACTGAGGATTTTGCATTTGTTGGTTAAGCAAGGTAGCCATCATCTGTTGAAGCTGTGGGTTCTGTTGGAGCTGTTGGAGCTGTTGTTGTTGTTGTTGTTGTTGTTGCAGCCCGACCACGGTCAGACCATGCATGGTAGTGCCGTCTTGCTGCACGGTCAGCCCTCCCACCTGTTGCGCTTGAGTTGCCGTCACGTTGGTTCTCGCCTCTTCCCTGGCTTTGTACCACAGCACGAACGTCACAATCATGAAGAAACCGGCGGCGCCCAGGGAACAGTACCCGGCGATAGCCGGTCCATGCGTCTCACAACAGTTCATCACTGTCAGGGTGATACCGGGGAATAGTAGCATGAAGGCCATGAAACCGAATTGTCTCTGCATGCGTTGGGTCCGCGAGAGCTGCCCAGCCCCTGCAGCACCCCAGAAGAGTACGTTTCCCCCGCCTCTGTGGCGATGTCGCCCGTCCATGGTTAAAGGTGGGTTTTTGGAGTCACTTTCGGCACACGGCGAACACTAAAAAGCAGGCTTAAAGCACACGTTTGGGAGCGCCGATGTTCCACAAAGTGCGCACTCGAAGGAGTACTGTCACAACCGGTGCCAGACAACAAACAGGTGTCGTCACACTGCATGTAAATCAGGCATGCAAGCGTTTCAGCCGACAGGACGCTGAGGGGAACCCATGTGAAACACACCTACGTTATTGGCCAGGGCAGGTGACAAGTAGGTCAGGGGTCAAGAAAGGTAAATCACAGAGGTTGAAGGAAGAAGCTTTAGGGCGGACCAAGGGTTGGTTCAATTTCGAACTCAGACAATGCGCATACACACTTTTAAGTTACGCGGTTTAAAATGTACAGTCGAAGGGTCAACGGTCGAATATTCGATTCCACTTCCCGGGGTTTTCTAAAACCCGGCAGACTACTCTGGGGCCGAGAACAGCGTACACAGGCAAGGCCTACATCAAATAATAGTATTGTCCGGACCAAAGACTTTGCGTGCCGCCACAGAATGATAAACAGACAACCATCCATAACAAAACTAACCTACGCACGCCATGCAGTGCGTCCAAGGCAGTGGTATGTCTAGAACATTGTTCTTCTCCAAACACATAAGGTAAATGACCATTAAATTTCTAGCTACTTTCTCACGGTGTAAATTTTTAAACCAAAATCTCCACCTAACACTGCAAAACCCTACATTAGACGTAACCCATAACAGGTTACTGTCCAAGTGGTCCCGCCAACCCACTCCCGGCATGCTTCAAAATACACATCAAAATAAAATAAGGACATAAAAGACAGAGGGTTTAAGAAAGCAAATACATACGCCATGTTTGACCAGTCAGTTGGGAAGCTCACACCAGGTTGGTTGGGCACAGTTGTCATGTTGATGACAGCTTGACCGTCTTGGTTGACAGTTGTCGTGGTCACGGTCCCTGTGGCGTCACTGATGACGTGCACCCCCGGCTGACCCTGACCCTGTGCACTGGCGGCTGCTTGGTCCTCTTTCCACTGTTTGTTACAAAGCCACAAACTGACTCCTAAAAGCGCCACCCCGATCACTAGAACACAGGCTCCCGCTGCTACCGACCCGGTGCCCGACGTAGCAAATATAGCTGTGAGCATGATGCCAACTCCGATCAGGAAAACTCCGAAGAAGCCCATGCATATGCCGATGACGGTCTTTCCCGCAGCCGGCCCTAAGTGTATTGTCCCACCGCCGCCCCCTCTCACTCCTCTGCTGCGAAAGCCAATTCTGCGGGCAGGCCGATGGTGGTGGTGTGCGCGGAGACCGATATGGTGACGGTGGCCAGCTCTGTGGTGCCTTCCGATCCTCCGCCCGCCGGCCCTACGCCCTCCACCCCGCCTCTCTCCTTTCCCCATCGGGAACCACTGGCGGTCGTTTGTTATTGAGACTGGTTGTTACAGTCTGTTTGTAGCAACCACTTCTCGTGGGTGACAGCTCACTTTACAACCGCCGAAGTATTGTTTAAACCAACGCGTTCTCCTAGATCCTGAAAAATCCCTATAATGATCCTTGCTTAAAGACTTGAGACAGTCTCTTCCTTGAGTAACACACCCACTCAAGGCCCAGTACTGATGCAGTACGTACCAATGTGATGAAAGCTCCTTGTTAGTAGTAATGCCAACAATCTGTCTCCTCACCACTTGTTCATGGTCTCTTGGACTGGATTAAACTCCTAAAAGCATTGTCCTCGGATCCGATAAAGTCTCATTCAAACCTGGTTCATAAGAGGCAGCCATTTAGGACGTATGCAGCTGCTTCGAAGCAGAGAGGAACAAAAACTACCTCACTGGTATGCAGACAGGAAGTTTGGGAAGGTGTGCCCTTGACCTGTAGAGGTCCCAAAAGCCCAGAATGGTCTCGCACCGGAGTTTTTACTTGTCCTTAGTCAACCTACATTTTATGTATGGCACGCGCTCCGTTTAATAGACAGTGCAGTTTGTCGTCAGTGGGTGTACGAAGGTTGAAGGAAGAATATGCTTTATTTTATATACAAAGTTTAGCATGTTTCAATCCAATACCGTACACAATTTCTAAGCAAATTAGCATAATTTCTGTATAAAGTAGTGTGATGAGGCTGCTCTCGTTGCATGTTTGATCTAGTCTGGTCATTAAAAAAATAAAACACCAACTCGAAGCCAAACCCAGTGTGTCAATATGCGTTGAGTAGATTGCATTTGACATACATAGACAAAGGCCACTGTCACTGAGTGCTGCTTATGAATAGTTGCTATGACTGAAAGGCGCACGCGTTGTTGATAATTGATAAATAAATAAATAAATAAATAAAAACATAAGATCATGCTCTAACTCACGGAAGCCACCTGAAAATTAAACATTTCAGTGAGTAGTTTTAAAAAAGAAAAAAAAATTATGTCTGAAGTCTGAAATCAAGTAAATGTTAAGGAATTTCGGAAAGTAATAATATGAGCAATGTAGTGTACAGAACAAACTTCATGTACCAAACTGTACCTATGCTACCACCCCCTCCCCTAAACAAACTATGGAGAGTATGGCCATACCTTTGCTGGCCTAGTCTTGACATCATCTGTTGAAACTGAGGGTTTTGCTGGGCGAGGTTTGACATCATTTGTTGAAATTGAGGGTTTGACATCATCATCTGTTGTCGTTGTTGCATCATCTGTTGATATTGGGGGTTTGCCAACATCTCTTCTTGCTGTTGGTTCAGCATCTGCTGAAATTGAGGGTCTTGCATTTGCTGCATCATGGCAGACCACATCTGTTGAAATTGAGGGTCTTGCATCATCTGCTGTTGTTGTTGGTTGACAGTTGTCGTGGTCACTGTCCCTGTGGCGTCACTGATGACGTGCACCCCCGGCTGGCCCTGACCCTGTGCACTGGCGGCTGCTTGGTCCTCTTTCCACTGTTTGTTACAAAGCCACAAACTGACTCCTAACATCACCGCCCCTAACACAAGAACACACGCGCCCGCAGCGACCGCTCCGCTGCCAGCAAATATAACGGTGAGCATGATACCGACTCCGATCAGGAAAACTCCGAAGAAGCCCATGCATACGCCAATGGCGGCCTTCGGCCCTAAGTGTATTGCCCCACCGCCGCCCCCTCTCACTCCTCTGCTGCGCAACCCAATTCTACGGGCAGGCCGATGGTGGTGGTGGTGGTGTGCGCGGAGACCGATGTGGTGACGGTGGCCGGCTCTGCGGTGCCCACCGGCCCTTCGTCCGCCGGCCCTTCGCCCGCCGCCCCGCCTCTCTCCTTTCCCCATCGGGAACCACTGATGGTGGTTTGTTGTTGCGTGACTTAAGCTTGTTGTTCTAGTCTGTTTGTCGCGGCAACCACTTGTGGCGTGACAGCTCTCTTTGTAACCGCCGAAGTATTGTATGCGAAGGCGTTCTTATGGCAAGCCCATAATACTTGAGCTCCTTGCTTACAGACTTGAGACAGCTGCAGTTTCTTCCTTGAGTAACACACCCACCAAGGCCCAGTACTGCTACAGTTCTTACGAATGTCAACAATTTGTCTCTTCACCACTTGTTGATGGTCTCCTGGACTGGATTAAATTCCTAAAAGCATTGTCCTCGGATCCGATAAAGTCTCAATTAAACCTGCTTCATAAGAGGCAGTCCGAGTTAGGACGTATACAGCTGCTTCAAAGCAGAGAGGGAACAAACTACGCCACTGGTATGCTGACAGGAAGTTTGGAAAGGTGTTGCGTGACCTGGAGAGGTCACAAAAGCCCATAATGGTCTCGCACCGGAGTTTTATCTTGCCCCTAGGCAACCTACATGACGTGTATGGCACGCGCTTCATTTAAATCCTGTGCAGTCTGTCGTCAGGAAGTGTAAGAGTGAAGATTGTATGACTTGTACAGAAGATAGAACATGTTTGATGTTATATTATACATCTTGCATTATAAAACCATACAGAATTTCTAAGCAAATTAGCGTAATTTCTTTATGAATAAGTAATGAGGTCAGGGGGCTCTCGTTTGATCACGTCTGGTCATTAAAAATTAAAAAAAAAAAAAAACAATCACTCGAAGCCAATCCAGTGTGTCAATATGCGTTGAATAGACAGCATTTCGCATAGATAGACAGAGGTCCCTGTCACTTATGAAATGGCTGAAAGGCGCACGTGTTGTTGATAAGATCATGCTCTAACTCACGCAAGCCACCTGGAAACTAAATTTCAGTGAGTACTTTTAAAATACAAAGAAAAGAAGTATGAAATTCAAGTAAATGATAGGAAAAGTAATTATATCAGCAAAACATACTCCATGTCCCAAATCTCATACAAATACCCATGACACACACAACCCTCCCCTCCCTTAAACTACGGAGAATTATAACGTTACCTTTGATGGCCTAACCTTGACATCATCTCTTCAAGCTGAGGGTTTTGCTGGGCGAGGTTTGACATCATCTGTTGAAATTGAGGGTTTGACATCATCATCTGTTGTTGTTGTTGCATCATCTGTTGATATTGGGGGTTTGTCAACATTTCTTCTTGCTGCTGATGTAGCATCTGCTGAAATTGAGGGTCTTGCATTTGCTGCATCGTGGCAGACCACATCTGTTGAAATTGAGGGTCTTGCATCATCTGCTGTTGCTGTTGCTGCATGTCGATGACAGTTTGACCGTCTTGGTTCATAGCAGCTGTCGCGGTCACGGGCGCTGTCCGGGTGACGTCACTGATGACGTCGACCTGTGTCATTTGTGTAATAATTCGGTTGTTTTAATTTCCAGTTTAAAAGTTTCCGGTTCTGTAAAATTTAATTTGTATTCAATGACCTACAAACAGACAGACAAACAAACAAACAAAAACAAACCTCCTGCTGTTCCTGAGACTGCGCACTGGCTGTGGTACGGTCGGCTTTCCGCTGTTTGCAACGCATCCAGAAGCAGGCTCCTGTCACCAGCGCCGCCCCGACAGCCAGCACGCACACTCCCACAGGTACCACTCCACTGCCGGACACAGCGAGTACAGCAGTGAGCATGATGCCGATTACTGTCACCATGACTCCGAAGAAGCACACGCATATGGCACTAACGCGAGTCGGCCGGGTTTGTCTGGTCCTAGGCTGGTGGTGCGTGTGGAGGTGCCCGAGAGCGTGACGCCGGCCGATCTCGTGCCGGTAGCCGATGTGAAAATCGTGGCCGGCTGATCCGTGCATCTTCTCTTTGTAACCCCGAAGTCTTGATTAAACCAATGCGTTTTCAGACTGAAAAGCCCTTCCTGCTCCTTGCCAAACTTGAGAAAGTGTCTGTTACAACTGCCCCAGTACTGCTACAGTTAGTCTTACAAACGTCAACACTGTGTCTCCTCGCCACTTGTAACTATCGCCTAGTGAACCCAATCCCTAAAACATGAGTCCTTTGACGCATTTAGAAAAGATCCTAGCCATACGGCTGAATGTGACTTGGCGAAATGACATATGCATTTGCTACGAGGCAGGAAGACTACCAAATAACATTACGCCACTGACTAGGAAACAGACAGGAAGTTTTGAAAGGTGCGCCATGACGCAGAGAGGTGAAAGGTCACAAAAGCTCAGAATGGTCTCGCCTGATTTTTGTTGTTAGAAATACATGTACTGTGCTGTTTGTCATTAAGGAACCAATTGTACGAAGACTGCGTGAATGGTACACAAGAATATGCTTTCGGTTGGCCTATCAACATATAACTTCTAAAAGAAAACTGGCGTCATTTCTGTAGAGTGAGCGTCATGGAAAGGAATTCCGGCTTACATGTTTCCGTATGCCAACTGGTAACTGACCAGAAAGTGGCTCGAAGCCAAACTCACTGGCGATATGCCAGCATCGCGTTTTACGTAGTAAGAGATCACAGCCACACATGAGTCAATGAAACGGCTGAAATGCGTTAACGTTGATTTGATAATATACCATGCTCTAATTCATGTTAACCATCACGCAGTGAAAGAGATGTATTTTCCTCAATACTATGAAATAAACATCAAGCAAATGACAAGAAAAGTAGATTAAAAACAAAGCACACAAAACGACGTATTGTATATTCTTCTTTATTTTATTATTAATTTTAATACAAATACCTATGACGCATATAGGTTAAACTTTAATCTTTATTACACCTCTCCCTCTCCCTGAAGTATGTCACTAGTAAAACAAGCTTAATTGTGTGGCGTGACCCAAGGTCAAATCTGATGACTTTATAATACCTACTTCAATTCCTAAGTATTGCAAAGCACACAAAAACACACGGAAATTTTCTTGAAGCCCCTTGCGTGATCAATATAGCTGGTTTCAATGTACAAGTATTACTTTAAATACCTTTGTCGAGAAGGTTACGTTTTCGGATGCATGTATTTGTGTGTTTGGAGTTTCAGCTGTGTGCTGAGACTTAGAGAGGTCACAAAAGCCCAAAATAGTCTCGCACTAGAGCGTTTTCTTGCCCCCGTCAACCTAACAACACGCGCGCAGTTAGAAGCACCGGTACCGCAAATAGGGAGGGCGTACGAGCGTTGTATGACTTTAAAAAATCCTCTTTCCTATCTGATTCAAGGACTTGTTGACTGTTAATTTACATCTATCCTGGACATACTTTTTGGAACAGTAGCAAGGACGCATAAACTCTTCTAGTCAGTCTAGTGGACAGCAATAACGCTCAGCTTGCTTCTGTTAGTTCCCCTACTTGGGGCATATATGAGACAGTAGCATGTTGATCTGGCTGTCTATCAGAGCAGGTCCGGGGTGGATATTATCAGGTTCCCACTGACACACGCTCATGTCCCACGTGTCCAACACCACCACGTCCCTGTCCGTCCGGAATATCTGTCTGATTTCCTCCGTGATCTGGTACGCCAGCCAGTCGCTTCCCCGCAGGTAGAAGGACCGATCCTTGTGTTCCCGCGTTGTTCCAGTTCTCACGAACACCCGTGTGCCCGGACTGCGCTGAAGAAGACGGTGGATGGCGTTCTGTATGGCGTGAAGTCGAGCCCGGAACATCTCCAGTGACTCTGTAGTAAAGTGAGCCCACAGACCCAGAACTATGACCGTGTTTGGGCCGCCATTCATGGAGTCCAACTCGTCAACAACGTATCTGATTTGGGTGAAATTCATCCAATGCGATCCCATTAATGGTAGGCCGTGAGAACGGTAGTGGACGACGATGTTCACGTCTTTGTTGATAGCAATTGCGGGGCCTAAAAAAGGAAAGCACGCAAGAATTGAAATAAAAGCTCATATTTATTGGTGAAGAACATCTTGACTGAATAAAATTATTTGGGCACAACAAGATAAGAACATTCGCCAAAATTTGACAACCTTTTTAGTTTATGATGGTTTACATAAATGTCGAAATTATTTTGTGATGGGTGTGGATATGCATCATAGCATTTCCCGAACGTAGCCGGGGGCTATATAGACTTCTGTGATCCTTAAAATCACTTTTCAAAGTCAATTAGATACCAGGTGGAGTCGACTGAACATTCCAAGGGTGAGTTTTTTCTCCAGGTCTTTAAAATGTACCGTGATTTGCGGAATATTATTTCACCTGGTTTGAGGCTTCCCTTGCTGTGCCCGGCCGCCAACCAAAGGTACCACTGCCTGATGGTGGAATCCCCCTGTATGTAGAGAGTCTTATTGGCCAGACAGCTTCGCGCGTCCGCCCTGGTAAACATTCTCACCCTGCAGACCGAGGACTTCCACACGTTACCGGACCAGTAGCCGTGGAATAAGACACCGGGTGTGTTGCTGGAACAATCGGGAAGATCGTCCAAGGGGGCCCGTGCTGATTCCTTGACATGTATGGGTGTTTGGATGTCCTGCTCCAGCTCTGCTTCTATATACGGGCTGCAAGGAGAAAGTGAGTCTATCAAAAGGCATAATGAACTTACACACAATGTCGTTCTCGCATCTATCAATGAACTCGATTAAATCATAAAACTGTCGATTGAGTCTTTTGTTCCATACAGTGTTCAAACTTATGTTTAGTGTTGGCTAGAGTAAATCTTTTCGACTTAAATTTAAAATAACGCAGAAATATGGACCAAATGCAATTTTAAGTGTTTTTTTTTTACCTCTGAAAGAGTTGAATTTCGTCTTCAGATACGAGATCAAGTTTTGACGACTGGCTGCCCTTCTGGGTGACGTCGCGACGACATCCCGCGATAGCAGAGCACGGCAGGGCGTCCGGTTTCACGCAGAACCACGTCCCGTTCGCTTCCTTTCTCGACAGGTCGCACAGTTGCTCCAGAGGCCGCCCGGGGGGTTGGGAGGTAAAGCACTGCCGCTCCTCTTTGGGACCCGTCTCGGTCTCGAAGAAGATACATTCGTACCCTCTCTTGGCGGGGACGTCTCTTACACGTCGCAGTACCCTCACTGTCTCACTCGGGTGGACAAGTTGCACACACACCTGTAATACATGACTTTCTTTTAAAAGATGATATTTGCAGTCACGTGACTGTTTGGTGTTATTTAGCATCAGCCATATTGGTGCGGTGGAAGTTATACCATGAGAATGGTTCTAACTCATTTAGTTGATTTGGTTGGTCTTCCTTCTTTTAATATGTCTACATGTACCCCTGCTTACACAAATTTTCCCTGACTATGGATTGTCTTACAAGTCGCCATCTTGGATATATCTAGCACACCAACATGGCGTCGGCTGTTCTCATCTGGTTGTGACGTCACGTGCGTACATTCTAGTATATGTAGTCCCGAAACCAAATCACCAAAAATAGTTGAAACAAATAATAGAGAGCTGAGCATTCCTTTGTTTGAAGAATAACCAAAGTAAAAAGTTTAACACTCACATTAACGTCCCCTGCCCAGTACAGCGGGAACTGCACCGTGTAGGTACCGTTGCCATGGTCGGTCACGTGCCCAGCGCAGCTCGCCTCCCCAGGCCGGATACTGACAAGCTTCGCGCGGAAAAAGTCTCCACCGTACGTCTTAGGTCTTCCCCTGACATCTCTCGCCACTATGACCGCCGTAAGAACGTCTCCTTGGCGGTACTCTGTCTCTCTGTTGAGGACAACAAACTTCGTGTGGCTGGGATCCGTGACTTGTTCAGTTATGTTGTTCTGGTTGTATGTGGGGCTGTTGATGGGATGCCTGACTTCTTTGATAGAGTTGCTCTTGTCGTTTATCGTGCTGTTGGGATGCGTGTCTTTTTCGGTAGGGTTGTTCTGGTTGTTAATCGTGTTGTTAGGATGAGTGGCTTCCTCTGTAGGGTTGTTCTGTAGGAGTGTGGCGTTGTTAGGAGACGCCTCCTCTTCTAGGTTTCGCCTCAGTTTTTCTACTGGGTGGTTTTGCACGTGTGGCAGAACCCTCAGTTGATGGCGAGATCCGGACGTATCATTTTGTAACTGTTTATAGTAGAACGTGCCATTCTGTGTAAGAGATAATTTTTAGATTTTCCTTACAGCTAGATTCGTGTTTGTGTCTTTTAAAACAATTGGAATGATGTCAATAGAAGCTACATCTTAGCATCCCCCTCATTACAACAATATAAAGGCATATGCACCGCCCACCCCACCAGAATGCCTTATCCATACATCTGCTTGTAGATAACCATTGCTCTGTAAACAATGCTATAATGACGTCCTCTAAACAGTAACGTGAAACAAAACGGACCAAAGGTCAATCTTTTGAAGACAAAAGTTACAGACAGGTAAAGGCCAGACGATCATCCGACAATTACTTCAAGCAAGTCGACTTACTTCCACTCTGCTGACAATTTGATTTTTGTCAAGGATAATGCAATCCATTGAAGAAGTTATATATATGATAACTGTTACACGTATCTGAGATTTTCTGTTATATAATATATGGGGTCTTTGCTACATAATATATCAGATTTAAGCACCGTTTGAAAGAAAAACGCCCTGTTCAGTCGACAATTTGGTTCCATTATTCCCATTGAGTTGGTATCTACAGTCTAACCTTGCTCCCAAATGACCAACAACAATGGGCTTTTAACATAACCACTGGGCCTGTTGTTTGCTACTTTAAGAATCATGTTACCTAAACAAATTCCATTTCAATGATTTCTAACACTACTGGTATCTGATCATATATCAAGCAGTTATAAACAACCAGGTCTGAACCAGGTTTCGTGAACTTTAAAGGGAGTGATAGTAATCTGCCACCAAATAGTGTAAATAATGAGCTGGCATGTTACGCCAAAAGGTGGTTATACTGGCTACAACTTAGATGCAGACTTTGTCATGGGGGTTAGCTGGCTGGACAAAGACAAGTTGTGTTCTGGCTAATTATGCAGACAATTTGGACCAATTTCTCCTGCGTATTTACCTACTACATGTAGTAGTAATAAGTCAGGTAGAGACAACAAAAACTCACCAGAGACAACACTACCACCAATGTCAGCGTTCCAAATACTGCCGTCATTCGACGAATGGATATTAGTGGTATTGCTGTAATAAAGAATAACAATGATGTTTTATAGATAGCAAAAATAGGAATAAAGAAGGTTATCAATAAAATACAAATGTTGAACCTTCAAGGTGTTTTATAGATAGCAAAAATAGGAATAAAGAAGGTTATCAATAAAATACAAATGTTGAACCTTCAAGGTGTACATAGTAATCTCAACTTTTCCCTGTGTTTCTCAAGTTTCCTTAAAATGACACAGGGAAATACAGTTTCCAATGATATCGACATATACAGGTAGAAATCACTACTCCTTGTATTTAGCTAGTACATAACAATAGTGAATAACAGTGATAAAGCTTATGCCCAGAGGCTGAAGACGTCCTCGTTTTCTAAAACTTAAGAGTCCATGCCGTAAAAAAATAACGATACGTGCACGTTACAGTATTGTTATGTTATGAACGTAAACAGTGAATTTTTGGTTACCTCTAGGAAGCTCCATTGTCAGAAATCACCTCAAACGCTGTCTCTGTACACACACGTTCGGCACGGTCTGCTTAGTACGCACGAACACGTTTTGCTTAGTTTGGTTTTTCAAGTGAATGTATGAGCTGCAAATGGCTACACAGGAGGTTAGCGCACTAGTCTTCTTTTCAGAACTAGGGTTCGCAAAGATCATGTTATAAAGATTATCTTATTGAACAATTTTAATGAAGAAACCATGTATGAGGTTTTTTCATTACAAGGGCTTACAGAACTTTACGTATCATGTTTATTTGAGCCAAGAAGCATACTTAATGCCCCAAAGTCGGCCCATCGGCCCATTAAGAACTAGTGACCTTTAGTGCGAGTTAGACCCTGGCATATAATTAGACCCTCAGGGGTGGGAGGGGGGCAGAACTGTGGCAACCTGCAGCGCAAGGAGGCCAACCTCATTATTTTGCTACATAATGTCTTTTTTTTAGATTGTTGATTCTCAACAACTAGACCTTCCCTGGAAAATCACATAAACCTAAAAGAGAATGATAGGAGGGGAAACAAGGCATTGGAACAATGCGAGATAGGGAACATTTTTACGGAGCCATGATTTAGTAATTTCAAGGACAGTCCTTAGACATTCTTTTGCACGCGGCATTGTTATCAGCCTAAGGGTGCACAGGTGGAAAACCAGCAGACCGACAACTACATGCTTGTGTTTGGTTATTCTTCGGGAGTGTTTCTCTAGTATCGCTTTTACGTGATCCCCGTAGTTTTCCAATGAAGGTTCAATTGTTTCGAAATTCGCATTCTGACAACTAACGCCAATATTCAATGGTCTTCCGGAGTACGGGCAGCGCCTCATGCGGCTGACCTTGCACTGCAAGCTGCTGCAAGTCTGGCCCTGGGGGACCAATTATGCCAGCCTCTGACCCGCAAAAAAACTTTAAAAAGGTCGTCTGTTCTAAAATCATGGGCGGCTGTAGGGATTTTCAAGTATTGTGTGTGATTCAGATAAACATGAAATGTTACGTTTCATATGCAATTGCAACGAAAACGCCGTATATTATTTCTTACTGAAAATCGTTTCATTGATTCTTTTACGAAAATGATCTTTATCAACCATAATTCTGAAACAAAGGATGCTGTTTGAACCACATGTGTAGCCATATCTCAAACTGATACATCCACTTCAATATCAAACGAAGCAGAATATCAAGGCCAGTACCAGACCATGTGTGTACGTATATGTGTGTCGTTTCGTTCCATATTTTTCGTGACCATTTGTAATGCTGCGGGAGCTTAAGGTGAGAATATGTTCATTGTTTTCTATGCCTATAATATTACCATACTGTTAATTATACGTATAGAGTTAATATAGGCTCTTTACTGATACGTTTTAAGGGGTTGGGCTGTATAGTGTCTGGGATGTTAACCCCATTATCAGTGTAGTAAAATTGCAGAACACATCGGTGGTGATTTCAAACTGTACAACTGTTACTAGTCAATTACAACCTTGGGTAATGGGAGAGGCATTGTACAAATCACTCCAATATCACTTGTTATGTGGGCATGTGGTGTTGTAAAATGAGTGCGTAACTTAAGTGTAACGCCACATTGACCTTGCTTTTTGCCTAATATTGATTTCAAATGTAATATCTATAGTAGTACAAGTATTTTATAGTAAAATGCAATGAAATCTTCTCTTTACTTTTACAGTAATGACCATTCGTCGAATCACTGCCGTATTTGGAACACTATCTCTAGGAGTGCTGTTGTCTTTGTGTTACTACCAGACGACTTTGGAGGTAGGAAGATTAAAAATGGCCAAATCATGCCACTGTGTGCAGAATTTTCGAGACGAGAGGCAAACTGTTCTTGTCTATTTGTCATACTAAGCTTTTAAAAGATAAATCAAACATATTGTATAACCTAAATCGTAAATGTATTACATAACCTGTCCCCTCTCCTTTTAAAACATTGTATTGTCCTTGCCAAAAAAAAAAACAAAATAAAAGCGTAGTGGAAATAGTTACTACTGCAATAATTGTATGTAACCGATAAATTGTATCAAGCTTCAACCTCTCAGACACAATTCTTCTTTCTCGCTTTATGAATGCATTACGGCAGTGAGTGTAGTAAATGATATCCAAGCAGATATTGGGAGGCAGAAACGTTACTGTTATTAGCTGCCCTTTTCTGTAACATACCTCCATAATTGCAGCAAAGTATGTAAAGATATATAGTCTTTTTGTTGTTTTTTTCTCCATTTCTGTTTCACGTATACGTACTTACTTATCCTTGTTTTTGTTTTACACAGAATGGCAAACTGTATTCTACAAATTTACAGAAGAACGATGAGCTTGAATCTCGTTATCAATCGAAGGTTCGGACACTCAGTCGAAATCAACCAAGTGAAGAAGTGAAGCTCTCCCTAGAAAAGTTCGCACGTCCAAACAACACCATTTATGACCAGGGCATCCCTACCGAAGATGCCACTCATTCAAAGACGCACATCCAGGATGACCTTTATAATCGTGTCACTTATCCAGACAACACGAAGTTTGTTGTGCTGAACAGAGAGCGAGTGTACCGTAAAGGAGACGTTCTTACCGCGGTCATAGTGGCGAGAGATGTCAGGGGAAGACCTAAGACGTACGGTGGAGACTTTTTCCGCGCGAAGCTGGTCAGTATCCGGCCTGGGGAGGCGAGCTGCGCTGGGCACGTGACCGACCATGGCAACGGTACCTACACGGTGCAGTTCCCGCTGTACTGGGCAGGGGACGTTAAGGTGAGTGTTTAGTACTAAACTATTTGGTTATTCTTCAAACAAAGGAATGATCAGCTGTCTATAATTTGTTTCAACTATTTATCCTATTTATCCTAGGTGTCGATCCAGCTTGTACATCCTAGCGAAGCAGTGGAGGTACTGCAGCGTGTCCGAGACGTCCCGGGGAAGAGGGCCTTCTCCTGTCTCTTCATCGACGCAAATCAGATGGAAAACAGAGAGAAACGTCAGTGTTCCACCACCCGGCCGCCGGACATGCCGCTTCACCAGCTGTGTGATTTCTCACGAAGGGAGGCGAACGGGAGTTGGTTCTGTGAGAGACCGGAGTCCCTGTCGTGTGACGCGATCGTAGCCTGTCGTCGGGACATCACCCAAAAGGGAAACGAGACGACAATCCTGGTGTCTGAAGACGAACTCAACCTTTTTCTAAGGTAAAAGACTTATCTGAAAATCTTTCTGGGAGACAAACTTTCACCCTTTTATTATGAAAATAACTTCATTGTAAAACCATGTCCAAAGGCTAATTGCAAACAAAACTGAGTAATATACTGAAGATAAAAGAAATTAAATTTTATATAAATGATATGACTAGTATAATGACAACTATCATAAATTTGTTCCTACTAAAGACTTCTCATAAATATTGAGACGTTTTTGTTTTAGTTTCAATAAACTTCTTTTGTCGTCACAGACCGTACATAGAGGTAGAGCTGGAACAAGACAACCCAACATTAACACCGATACGTGTGAAGGAGTCAAGCCTGCTTCTGTTCAACCGTCGTCCCGAGTGTCCCGGCAGCACGCCCGGCGCCCTAACCCAAGGATTCTGGTTCTACAACTCCTGGAAGTCATCGGTCTGCAGGGTGAGAAATTTTACCAGGACGTCCATGCGCCGATGTCTGGCCAACAAGAGGGTCTACCTACAGGGTGACTCCACCGTTAGGCAGTGGTTCCTGTGGCTAGCGGAGGGGCACAGCAAGGGAAGTCTCAAACCAGGTGGGTCTGACATGTGCCAGTGAGGTAGGCGACACACGAAACTACCTGATTCGAAGAGGATTTCTAAATATAGCTCTTCAGATGCAGTGGAAAATGATAATCATTTTATCTCTAATTGTTCATTTTATGATGATATCAGAAACTAATTATTTACCATCGTGTCAAAAATGTTCCTGTACATTCCCATTATTCTCTACCACTATAGAGATGAGGATAACCATTGCCTAAACAAATGTTTTGCTTTTATAGGACCTGCAACTGTCTTCGACAAACATAAGAACATCTTCGTGCAGTACCGGTTCCACGGCCTGCCAGTATTAGGATCCCACTGGATGAATTTTTCCAAAATCAGATACGTTGTTGACGAGTTGGACTCCATGAATGGCGGCCCAGACACGGTCATAGTTCTGGGTCTGTGGGCTCACTTTACTACAGAGTCACTGGAGATGTTCCGGGCTCGACTTCACGCCATACAGAACGCCATCCACCGTCTTCTTCAGCGCAGTCCGGGCACACGGGTGTTCGTGAGAACTGGAACAACGCGGGAACACAAAGGTTACACTTTCTACCTGCGGGGAAGTGACTGGCTGGCGTACCAGATCACGGAGGAAATCAGACAGATATTCCGGACGGACAGGGACGTGGTGGTGTTGGACACGTGGGACATGAGCGTGTGTCAGTGGGAACCTGATAATATCCACCCCGGACCTGCTCTGATAGACAGCCAGATCAACATGCTACTGTCTCATATATGCCC